AGATGGCTCTTTCACCTCAATCACGTGCAGCTCTTAATTTAGGCAGTAGTTCCTTTCTTCTCAACTGAAGAGCCTCAGAAAAGCCTTCATTAATAAAAATAGTTGTACACTTTAGCTTCTTGGCTGAAGACATTATAGTCTGTATATTTTTCCATTTTTTAGTCATCTAGTCCCAATTTACTTGAGAGGATTTCCCGAACTTTCACCTCCGATTTCATCCAGTTTTCGTCAGTGATCCCATCCACTATAATATTTGTCCTCCTCGTCTGATTTTCGACATAATCCAGTTTGACGAGATCCATCCAATTCCTCCTTTGATTTGATGATATCCTTTTCAAACTGCCTTATCTTAAGCTCAAAATCCTTGTATCCAATCATCAATCCATCCACTTTATTTAGTGTGAATTCCAGACTGGCTTTAACATCTTGAATATCGCTGATCACTCCATACTTGGCTACAACGCATCAATTTAATAATATGAGTTCACAAGCATATCAGCTAGTGTGTTCTTTTAAATTTAGAAACCATTATATTGAAAACAAAACTGTACAATGTCCTGATGTAACATTTGTATTATCTGCACAAACTAAATGAAAATGCATGTACATCTTTGAGGTTGCAGTGTCCAAATTTATCTGAAAAAAGCCTTATGGATAAATATGGGCACTTAACAGTTTTTAATATCTGTGTTTAAAAAAAAAAAAAAACATTCCTTCAAAAACCATAGTTGTAAATACAAGAGGCCTTGAAAATGTGTATACATCACCATATTTCTATGCTGGTGACACCATTGCTTTGTGTATGGAATGTTGGACATTGCGGTGTATAAGAGGTAAAAAAATTATATAAATACTGTTCAGTTTCTTGCACAGACCGATCGTTTCGTGTCTTTACACATCAATGTATCGTCACGAGCCGTAGGGTTTCATTTGGTTTTGTTTGTGTATGTATTTTTGACTCTCAAAGCCGTGATTCCCATCCACTTCCATTATATGACTGACAGACTGCAACGGTTTGAGTTAAAAATCTCTGTTTGTGTTCTACTGAAGAAACAAAGTCAGCTAGGTCAATGCAACAAGAAGTACTAACATTGTTAACCTTCGTGCTAATTCTTGTCGGTTTAGTAATCTGTGAATCTGTGTAAGATTACAAACATCAGCCATTGATTTTAACTTTTTTTTGTCAATGAGCAGTTTTTTGAAAGCCAGTCAATATTAAAAGCACCAAGTAAGAATATGTCCTTATTTTCTTCTGTTACCCTATCCATATTTTCACATATGCTATCCAAATACTGCACATTAGCACTAGGAGGCCGATAACAACAACCAACTAAAATTGGTTTGCAATGTGGAATAGAAATCTCAAGCCAAATGGCTTCAATATAACTGTTCATTAGGTCTTTCCTTAAAATCACTCCAAATGTTCCTTAATATAAAAAGCTGCTCCACTGCCATATTTATCCAGATCTTTCCTATACAATTTATAGCCATTAATCATGAGCACAAGATTACTCATAGCTGGGTCTAGATGTGTCTCGTTATCTGAAACACACATATTCTCGCCACCTCACGAGTTTTATTCCTTAGGCTACATATATTTAGATGTGCAATAATTACTCCTTTCTTTGACAACCTTGATCAAAGAGATGGTAATAGTTACAAAATAATTCTACATTTGCACAGAGTCTATGTTCGAATATTTCCAGTTCTGGGCACGATGACTAACTTGTCATATTTCGAGATGGCTCTTTCACCTCAATCACGTGCAGCTCTTAATTTAGGCAGTAGTTCCTTTCTTCTCAACTGAAGAGCCTCAGAAAAGCCTTCATTAATAAAAATAGTTGTACACTTTAGCTTCTTGGCTGAAGACATTATAGTCTGTATATTTTTCCATTTTTTAGTCATCTAGTCCCAATTTACTTGAGAGGATTTCCCGAACTTTCACCTCCGATTTCATCCAGTTTTCGTCAGTGATCCCATCCACTATAATATTTGTCCTCCTCGTCTGATTTTCGACATAATCCAGTTTGACGAGATCCATCCAATTCCTCCTTTGATTTGATGATATCCTTTTCAAACTGCCTTATCTTAAGCTCAAAATCCTTGTATCCAATCATCAATCCATCCACTTTATTTAGTGTGAATTCCAGACTGGCTTTAACATCTTGAATATCGCTGATCACTCCATACTTGGCTACAACGCATCAATTTAATAATATGAGTTCACAAGCATATCAGCTAGTGTGTTCTTTTAAATTTAGAAACCATTATATTGAAAACAAAACTGTACAATGTCCTGATGTAACATTTGTATTATCTGCACAAACTAAATGAAAATGCATGTACATCTTTGAGGTTGCAGTGTCCAAATTTATCTGAAAAAAGCCTTATGGATAAATATGGGCACTTAACAGTTTTTAATATCTGTGTTTAAAAAAAAAAAAAAACCAAAAACCAAAAACCATAGTTGTAAATACAAGAGGCCTTGAAAATGTGTATACATCACCATATTTCTAGACACCATTGGACTAAATATCTTAAGTCATTTGGCTTATCTAGTAAAAGTATCTTGATTTAAGAATTTTTAGACATTTTGAGCTAAAAAAAAAAAAAAAAACTAAATAAAATAAGATAAAATAAATACCATACTTTCATGTATTTTAAAGTTGTTGAAAACAGCTTATTTAATTACTTTGGAAACGGAAATGAAAATCATAAGACTTTTGTCAAATGTCAAAATATATATAATAATATATTAATTCTATTATATAATTAATTATAATTTAGTAATTTTAGATATTCTAAACATATAAAAACATAAATATACATTAGCACTATCTGATTTGATTTTGAATGGTGCACTCCAATTGACAATTCTAGTTTCAAATTGATAAACCTGTCGGACAACTTGAGTAAATACTAGGGCACGGAACCCCTGTTGCTGAGACGCCAAGAGATGCTAAAGATGTCAAATGGCCAAAAGTGTCCAAGTTAGAAAAGGTAAAAGCACATGCAATATGAAATGGTAAAGAATATGTTTTTACAATGAGTTTTTTGAAAATCCAATTGTACCTAATCACAATGTGAAGCATGCCAAGTGATTGCAACTGAATGTTGTTCATACCTTGTAGATAATATACAACAGTCAGAGACACACATTTCCCCTAACTGATGCTGGTACGTGGTATGACAGAAGCAACCCAGGTTTTGGTATCAGATATTTTCTGATGGGATCTGGCGTCCGGGGCTTAATTATCTGGTGTGGAGGCATGATCTAACCACGCTAAGCAGACATTTGTAAGCAAGTAGGATTTGTGGCAGATTAATGTAGGTGAAGTTTGAACATAAAAAATGTAAAAGACGTGATGATGACCTGGTTGCTTTCAAACCCCAAGACGCCAGTACAGATGCAGTCGTGGTGCACTTCCTCACATGTTCGTGCTCTTCTGAATAAACACTTTCGGAACATTTACATTCACATTTACATTTACATTCATGGTTTTTGGAACATGCTTTAAGCAAACGACTCAAAGAAAACTTGCTGTGAACAAGAAAAACAAGCGACATTCTAAGAAGTGAACAGCAGTAGACGCAGATGCAAATGGCAAAGATTTACTGCATTGCTATATGAACTCCTAATGTGAATATTCACATTTTAAAGATAGTTTTGCGTCATCTAGAAACCAGATGCAGGACGGTGTTTGTGGAAGCTCTGACAGGCAGCCCCCATGCATAAAACAACAAAATGCAAATGTGTGTTGATCTTGAGAAGTCTGTAAGATGGGAAAGAAAAGACCAATTTAAACATGGCTGGTGCAACACACAAGATGGAAACAACATGCAGTAGGCCTACGCCAGATAAAGGTTAGGAAAACTGTCATATAAACCACTTCTGTGGCACCCTTATTTAAAAGAAAATTCACTTCAAAAACTCATCCTTGGTGCTTCACTGAAAGAAGATCATACCAGTGTTGGGCAAGTTACTCTGAAAATGTAATTAAATTACTGATCACTCCTTTTAAAAGTAATCACGTTACTTTATTTCACAAGTAATTAGTTACATTACTAGTTACTTTTTTCTGTGAGTACATCCATGAAATTTACATGAAATCCCAGCATAAACGCTCCCGATAAATATTTGTTATTAAAGCATCAACTTTCAAAAAACACTGTTACTTGTAACTAAAGCAAGCCTAGGCTGCTGCGTGCATGGTTTGGAATGGCAGAATGCCAGCAAATAGCGCTGCTTTTATAATCTCTAAAAAGATGACATCTCAGTTCATCGACAGTTTATGACACAATGAATATATATGCATGATGATTCTCATAATGTCTACAATTCAGTTACTCTGTTACTAAAAAAGTAATCAAATTACAGTGACGCGTTACTAAGTAATGCGCTACTGCCCAACACTGGGTCATACAGAATAGAACGACACGGAATAACAACAGAGTTTAAGTACAATTTGCTGCCACTGAATTTAAATACAAAAGTGAATACAAATCTTAATGTAGTTCAGGAAAATTGTCACCTCTCCTGAAAGAAAACTGAGGGACAAACCAATCCAGTTCGGTGGATTTTGCTATTGTTGTTAACACCTGATATTCAATGTAAGCATGTCAACATGAATGATTCATTCTTTGACTTGCTTTACAGAAAAGTGTCTGCCAAAGAGATAATGTACAATTTTAATAGCACTGACATTTTGATATCATAAATCACTAAACTGAAGTTACATATTATCATTATTTTCAGTGAAAAGGTGTTCACTTGTTTTGTTGCTAAAATATGTTTAAGAAAATAATAATAATTATTATTTATTTATTTATTTGTGTGTGTGTGTAAACACATTTTTTTCCAGCTCCAGACCGAAAGGAAAGTGGGAGGAGAGCTAGGATCATGTGACTCTGATGTAACTTGAACATATATATTTCTCCCAGGAACAACATTCATTCAAACCTCCTCAAACAAAAGCAGAAAGAATCACGAATCGCCTGAAATGAACATGAGAGTTTTCTACAAGGGTCTGTTGTCTTTACTGGGTAAGATATGTCTTGTATCTTAATGACCTACAGACTGTTTTCAGCTTCATCTTTCAGACAGAGAAGCACTTAATAAACACAGAAGACCCTAAACTATAATTGAATGTGTTGTTGTTGGTTCATGTTAGCTAGACACCCTTAAACAAAATAATTTGACTTGAGAAGCTAAATTATATAAGACACTATACATGATTTTAGAGATTATACTCAATTTTACCCAAATATTATTTATATATATATATATATATATATATGCTTATGCTCATAAGAACAATCCATTTAAGTTGCTTTTTTAAATTTTTATAATGAGCATTATTCTGTTTCTCATTTCAAGGATTTTTCTCAGTTCAGAAGAAAGCAGAAAGTGAAGGTGAGATTTTGTGAATTAAACACTACTACATCTGTTGTTAGGGAGTTTGTGCTGCTGTGAAATATTTTCAGACACATGGCCAATAGCCAAGCAGGGCTATACGTATTTGTGACCCTGGAGCACAAAACCAGTCATAAGGGTACATTTTTCAAAATTGAGATTTATGCATCATCTGAAAGCTGAACAAATGAGCTTTCCATTGATGTATGGTTTGTTAGGATAGGACAATAATTGGCTGAGATACAACTATTTGAAAATCTGGAATCTGAGGGAGCAAAAAAATCTAAATATTGAGAAAATCATCTTTAAAGTTGTTCAAATTAAGTTCTTAGCAATGTATATTACTAATCAAAAATTAAGTTTTGATATATTTACAGTAGGAAATGTACAAAATATCTTCATGGAACATGATCTTTACTTAATATCCTAATGATTTTTGGCATAAAAGAAAAATGTATAATTTTGACCCATACAATGTATTGTTGGCTATTGCTACAAATATACCCCAGCGACTTAAGACTGCTTTTGTGCTGCAGGGTCACATATTATAATTGTAAGTAAGGTTTTCTCTTGAACGTATTCCAGTGAACATAGCAAGTTGGGGAACAGCCGTTCAGTCGACAACATTTTACGGCTTAAATCATGACTGGAGTGCCCAAAACGCTCTCGATGGGTTGAACAACATCTGTACTCGTACAGAAGAACAAAGTGACCCGTGGTGGAAGCTGGATCTGAAGAAGACATACAGTGTGAACAGAGTGACCATCACTAACAGATTAATCTGCTGTGTAAACTGGATAGATGGGGCAGAGATTCGGATTGGAAACGATTCTTCAGATGTTTTCAGCAACCCAGTGTGAGTCTCTCTGATATATTCTTATATGCAGATTTTTGGTATCTTCATGCATACATATGTCTGTGTGTGTGTGTGCTTCATATACTGACTATTTGCAGGTGTTTAGACTATGTTAATAGTGGGATTTGCAGTTCAGTTAGTGAGTGGGATGTTGATTCAGTGAAGGATTTGTCTTACTGATTCCAACTGGTCACTCTCGTCTTTTTTTACAAGTCATTTGTTCCCGAATCAGACTAGGCTCGTGTGTTTTTAACTAAAAAGAAGCAGATCATAAGAGTCATTTGTTTGTTGGTCATGTTGTAGGCTATGTTTATTGCAATACAAAGACTTTCACGCTATTATTTCACAGTGCATGGCTTTTTTACTCCATCACATTCAATAAAGACTGTAAAACTCACATTCAAAGATCAGTTAAATTGTTATTTTTTTTCTTTTTGCATGGCAATGATCGGTGGAGGAAACACTGGTTTACCTACCTAATGATCAGACAGTTGATGTTATATCTTTCTAAAATGGCAGCTCATGTCACACAGGCAATTCGCTTAGCAATTCGCCTCCAGTGATCACATTACCGCAGATCCGCCAACTCTCACGCAATTGACACTTTTCTCACCCTCTCAAGCCACACATCCATTTTCCATACATCCATATTGGCCAAACAGATTTAGTAAAGGCTCCAGTGCGCATTTGTATGGAGCCCTTAAAGGGACGTGGTGGAAAAAATTTGGGGTGGTAGGAAAAAAGTTGCACTCTCGCAAAACTTGCAAGAATTTGGTCCTCCAATGTCACTGTTTTAAAACATTAAGCCACATTAAGCATTTTAGAATGACCGTTCCTTGAACTAACCACTGACTGTATTGCTTTATACTTGAGTCCAAATTCAAAATAAAACTCTATGAACCGCTCCATTGTGAACATACAGAGCTGTATGAACCACTGCAAGCTGCAAAGTAAACAGGAAGAGTTTGTCCGAACTCAACTGGTTTTGCGAGAGAACGCAAAAGTTTTGCGGGAGAACACAAAGTTTCTCGAGGGAACGCAAAAGTTTTGTGAGGGAACGCAAAACATTTGAAAAAAAAGATTTTTTTCCACTACCATGTCCTTTTAGGGGCTCCGTACATTTGTGTTTGGGCTCTGGAAATCGCCGAGAGATTCTATTTGCAACGTGTTTTCGTAGCGCTGAGCAATGTAGCCAATCACAGACATCTGTTGATTTCCTGAACACCTGTGATTGGCCATTGCCTTCACTCACCTCTAAACGCCGGATTTTTTATTTTTTTTCCTGCACGCTTGCGAATCCTCTCACTGTAACACGATGTAAATAAGAGGTTCATTGATTATAAAAGAGCTTTGTGAGATCACGAGTAGTGTACACCTTTTTAAAGCAATGACTATCTGCACTTTCTAGGCTAAATATAATCCTTTCAGAATTGGAATAAAAGTTTTTTTTGTGCTGCTAACGGCCATATACCCTAAGTTTCAGGAGTGACACATACATCCCTCATGAATGCAGGATTCATTTTCGAATGGGAGAAAAATATAATTTCTCTAAACAGATGTTCAAGCAATGCAGACTAATAGATAAATAGAAACATGAATTTTTGTGTTAAAATATTGTTTAAATGCTGCAATTCTTTCACTGTACATTGCTATTCTTGTTGTAGTAATAGTTAAGTTATTTTACATGATATTATGATAAAACACAGTATGACAATGCCCAGATGTCAGACAAAACAAGGTGTTTTATATATTTGTATTAAAAATTAACACTTCCCTGTCATGACAAATAATTGCACATATGTTTAGCTGCTTAATAATAATGATAATAATAAATAATAAAAATAGTGTAAAACATATGATTAACTCTTTCTCTTACAACACGATGTATATTATGTAACATATTAAATGCATTCAGCGATAAGAGAAGAAAATACAAGTGAAGAGTCATACTAATAATGAGCAACAAAATCACAGAAACTCACTTTTTTTCTTTTTTTTTTCCTCCAGATGTGCTGTAGTTTCTTCTATTCCAGCAGGAGCAACCTACAGCTTCTCGTGCCCTGGGATGGAGGGGCGCTATGTGATTGTGAATATTCCTGGAACTTCAAAGACTGTTACTTTCTGTGAAGTGGCAGTCTATGTGATTTTTCCAGGTAATTCAGAGCTGCTTAACAACCAGGTCTAAACCCTTTCCAGGTGAATTTGACTGGACCGGCCTGAAATAGAAACTTTTAGAAGGCTATTTGAACAGAAGACTAGGGACGGATTAACGCACTTTCCAGGGCACTAGACCAAAGAAGGCCCAGTCGAAATATCGGTCCTCCTGGAACACGAGGCTTCACTGTGCTGTTGTGTGTCACATGACAAGGCCTCATGAAAAGATAGTCCTTAAAAATGACTTTGTCAGGACTCAACCCGTTCTTACAGATCTGATAGAAATGCATTCCTAAGTAAACCTCCTCAAAAACATTCAAAGTGAATAAAATAAGCTGACTACAACCATTTCTTACAGGTAATTTGGCAACAGGAAGAACTGTCATACAGTCGTCAACCGATGGCTACTGGTTTGCTCATCAGGCCATTGATTTCAATCCTGGCTTCACAAATTCATGGTCAGCGTGTTCTTCAACCGATATTCAGACTAACCCATGGTGGAGGGTGGATCTGGGTTATATTTACAGAGTAAGTAGAGTTGTCATCACAAACATACCAGACTGCTGTCCAGAGAGAATAAACGGAACGGAGATTCGCATCGGAAACTCTTTGGAGAACAACGGCAACAACAATCCCACGTGAGACCCTCTTTCAGTGGCTTAAAATCCATAAAGAAACCCTGAAATCGCATATGAAGAAAGACTAGAAGTCTAAATGAGGTTTTCTCCGTCTCTCTTTAGATGCGCTGTGATTTCTAGCCTTCCAGCTGGTGTTTCCTCCACTTACACATGTAACAATATGGAGGGTCGATATGTGAATCTCTTCATTCCTGGAAATTCAAGGATTCTTACTCTGTGTGAGGTGGAGGTCTATGAAGAAGGTGTGATCAAACAGGCAGATTTAGTGTTTTGGGAAACTATTAACGCCTTCGCTATAGTTGAAATTTGGATATTTATGGTTTTTGAACATGTGAAACTTCAACAGTTGCATGCGCTCAGCTTTCAATAATTTACTGCATAAAACACATTTGTGCTTGACTATTGCAGGTGAACCTGTATTTAATGTCATCTAGGTATTTTTGTTTTGTTTTACTTTGTGTAGTTTTGTTCATGATTTTTGAGGATCACTACACAACCTCTCACTGCATCTGTTTAATCTTAAAGGTGACATATCATGAAAATCTGACTTTTCCAGGTTTTAAGTGCTATAAGCAGGTCCCCACCAACCAAGGAAACGTGAAAAAGATTAAGCCAGTAACTTTGTTTTGGTAAGCCTTTTTCTGCAAGAGTCTGAGAAAACGAGCGCGCCAGATTTCGCTCCCTTGGTGACGTGGCAAAGGGATCTCATTATAATATTACCGCCCCTTAATCTGTAAGTTTCCACCCACGGCACCGTCATTTGATTTTGCAAGCGACAACGGTGTACCAGCTCTAATGCCATGGAGAAAGTTTGAGCAAAGCATGCTAACTGTTCTGTGTTTGGCTGCACAGACGAGCACAGAACACTGTTTACAGTCCCAGCCTCAGAGGAGACAACAGAGCAGTGCATTTATTGATTTATTTACTGTATATTGCTGCTGCCACACAGATCTAAAATAAACTAAATAAATAAATAAAAAGATTTATTTCCCAGCTGTTTACCTTCACAGACATAACCGACTGTTTTTGTAACTCATGTGTGTTTTTAATGTAAACTTGTGTGTGAATGACAACTTAGTTTAGTACTCACATGGTAAACTTGTGTGTGAATGAGAACTTAGTTTAGTACTCACATGCTGTGACAGCCGCTTTCTGTGCGTGTGCGCTCATAAACCCGTATATCAAAAGTTTAAACTCATATGGTTTAAAATGCATGATTTCAGCGCGATAAACATGATAATCAGAACCACAACAGATGTTTTTAGCAGGTATGAGCTGTAAAGGCGCAGCTCTATTCTGGAAAAGGGGGCGGGGAGCAGCAGCTCATTTGCATTTAAAGAGACATGCACGAAAAACAGCGTGAAAAAGAGCTTCCACTCAAAATAGGCATTTTCAAAATTATATAATAAATGATCTGCGGGGTATTTTGAGCTGAAACTTCACAGACACATTCTGGGGACACCTGAGACTCATATTACGTATTGTAAAAAGGGGCATAATATGTCTCCTTTAAGTGACAGATGCGTTTGCAACAAACTGCTGCAGATATTGTAGACTCGATGCATTTTATGTTTTTATTATTTGCATTAAGCGTTTGCTTTTCTCTTCTCTGTATGTTCACACTCGTGTGCCCTTTTAGGTCCTTTTTTCCAAGAAGACTCTTGTGAAGATGAACCTTAAGTTTGAGTCTGTCCGAACCTCCAGCTCCTGTCACAGGTGAGAGAGGGGAACGTACAGAAATCTGAAATCAATCAGCAGTTTTAAGATATCTGCTCATTTCAGCTTCAGCCTGCTCTGGCAGAACGAGGGATTTCTGACGTGAAGAAAGATATGATGATCGGGGAACCGAAACTCTCTTCAGATCAGCTTTGATGCTCTTTATTTACATACTGGAATTTTCTCCATTCCTCAATGTTGATCACAATAAAGTTGCATGTGAAAATTGAAACTACTGATTCCTGATTGCTGCTTTGAAGCCATTTGTATTGTATAAAGTACAAGTACTTGACAATGTGGGGGCAATGTTATTTAAGTGAAATTTATATATTTTTATGCAATACTTATATTAATATTATTTTTAGATTTGAATGTTTTTATGTTTTATTTCAGTTAACATCATTATTTTATTTCAAGTGTTTGTTTTTTTATTGCAGTTTACTATTTTCATTTACTTCGTTACATTTTCTTCTTTTTCAGCTATTGTGGTGCTGAAATTTTTAGCTATTAATTAACATACAATGATGTTTGGAATGATAACATTTCTAACCACTAGATGTCATCAGCAGCATGTTTTATCCATTATTTTAACTCATAATTTACCAATTTCACTAAATTTTAAGTTATATGAGATTCAACTAGACAACATTGGAAAAATAAACAAATAAGTGTTTTAACAATTATAATTATCTGCATGCATGCATTCTGGTTTGGCTGGTTGAACAGTTTGAACAGTCAGTGATGTCTCAAAAAGTCATTATAAGTCTTACAAGCCCAGATCCTAAATTCCTAGTGAGAGTAAAACAAACAAATTAAACGGAGCATAAGTGTCTAAAGGAGTTACTATTTGACAGCATTGTATATTGTACCTTAAGGCAAGACACTACAGGCAAAAACAGGCTTTTCATGAAGCATTGTTTCAGACTAGTGGAAAGAAAACATCTAAAAATACACACACTGTAAAAAATAATAATGATTTTAACGGTAAAAAGCTCTCAAAATGCTACAGTAAAAACCTATTAATTGGTTACGGTAAGATCTCCCTTACTACATACGATGAAAAACTGTAATGGACATTTCATGTAATTTTACGGTTAAATACAGTTTTTGGAAGTGAAAAGGAACATATAATTTACAGTGAAAAAAAAAATGTAAATTGACATTACCAGAATTCCCTGCGTTACATTTCACATTTGATGATTTTTCATTGAAATAACTGTATCAGTTATGTTCATTAGGGTTGTATGTTGCATATAATGTTGTTAAATGCATGTTTATTGCATTATTTTAGTTTCATGTGTTTTCATGATGGTGCTTAATATTTGTGTGAATGACAATGATAATCACCAAAAACAGAAAATATTAGTATATAAGGTGCACAGTGTAGTACAAAGGTACAAAACAGATTTCAGAACTTCAGGAGGTTGGTATATTAACATTATATCAGTTAATGAAATATGTTTTTTTTTTATGTAAATTTAAGTAAAATTTTTAAAACCAAAAATGTTGCTACCATTTTTCATGGTAAAATTCTGGCAACCACAGCTGCAATTTATTTACTGTAAATTGTTATGTTCATTAGGGTTGTATGTTGCATATAATGTTGTTAAATGCATGTTTATTGCATTATTTTAGTTTCATGTGTTTTCATGATGGTGCTTAATATTTGTGTGAATGACAATGATAATCACCAAAAACAGAAAATATTAGTATATAAGGTGCACAGTGTAGTACAAAGGTACAAAACAGATTTCAGAACTTCAGGAGGTTGGTATATTAACATTATATCAGTTAATGAAATATGTTTTTTTTTAATGTAAATTTAAGTAAAATTTTTAAAACCAAAAGTGTTGCTACCATTTTTTATGGTAAAATTCTGGCAACCACAGCTGCAATTTATTTACTGTAAATTATACAGATTATTATTATTATTTATTTTTTTACAGTGCATTTAACAGTTTATTTTATTGCACTTTATTTGTGTCTGTAGATTTCTATTTCAATACACATCTTGAAAGGCTGCGAGTTTGTTTCTCTACTTCAGCAGCACTTACATACACCAAACTTTACAGCTTTATTTTCATCTGTTTTCTGAAGGGTTTTGCAGGAGTTCGTTCACACAGATTTTATTCCTTAAAAACAGGGTGGATTTTTTTTTTCTTTCCTGTAGACAGTATTTTCTGATATCTGAAGTGTATATAAATAGATATTTAAAATCCCCTCTGTAAAAACCTCTCACTCTAATATGTCAGAAAAAAGTATTTCGAACATAATTTTATCCAGTGTTTAGATTTGTGAAAATTATATAAATTAGTGCATAATTAGACAATGCCTAATGTAACCCTTTTCTTAACCCTGGGGGTTCATTGAAATGTTTCTTAAGCAAGAAGCCTAGGTTCCTGGCGGTTGAATTGTGAATTTGGTCTGTGTTTTTCTCCTCTAATTTAAAACAATTGTAGATGAACTTTGTTCCCTTGTACAAATAAATCACTCAACATTTAGTGTGAAGCTGAACTATGTGAAACAATTCTTATTTATATTTTCCCAGAAATTTTGTAACTTTGTTGAATGAATTTACTATAAAAAAAAAACAATGAAATACTGGACTGAGTTTGAGATTGAGTTAATTTTTTATATACTTAAAAAATATATAAAAAAAAATAAATAAAAATAAACAATGTAAATGTATGAAGAATAGAGAATTATACCAATAAACCTTTACCCAAGGGTATGCAGATCAGTGGTTTTCAGAAAATAAAAGATGTATACCACCTTCTGAGTCTCAGAATTGTTCTTTGTCTCTGGTACTAAGCTTCTTAACCTTGTTTTCCTAACTTTTAACCCCAAATCAACACATGAGAAGAGAATTCAAAACCTTGCTAAAGTTGAACACTTCAGAAGCAATACCAAAACCACAACAAGAATTCAGATTACACATTTGTAAGAAAGAAAAAAAAAAAACGTGATTCACAATTTATAAGGTCTCTTTTAGTCCCGTATGCACATTTGATATGAATCGGTAACACGGTCACAAAGGTACGCGTACTTTAACGTTGGGGCCCAGTTCGTTGGTGCCCATGCACAGCTGACGAGTTCAGAATAATCGCTCACAGTCAATAAGTCTCAAAAAGGAATTCACTTACGTCCATTCGACTAT